AGCAGACCTTCTACAGTGTTCTTATGTGGGATAGCGATGAAGAAGTTTCTTGGCAAGTGGTTCAGCTATGTTATAGAAGCCACTATTCTGGTTGAAGTTGTCGGATATAGAAATGAGTGATGATTCCAGGATTCTTCGGTATTGAGTGTTGTCTTCTGTGGCGATAAGTCTTGAGTTTCTGTAGTTTATCAAGTGGTTGTGTGAATTACGGTGTTGTACGCAGGCATTCCTTGTGTCGTCAGACCTGCTTGCGTATTGGTGTTCTGAAACACGTGTTTGGAGGTCCCTTGATGTTTCGCCCACGTATAACTTGTTGCAGTCATTACAAGGGATTATGTATACCCCTGCAGAGGATGGAGGCTTGTCCTGCCTACTACTGGTGATGTCCTTGATGGTCGTGGTTGTGGAGGTAGATACTTGGAATGATGTTTTGGCAAAGATGTTGGAAACATGTTTGGCAATGGAGTTGGTGGGAAGGACTATGTATCTCTTCTCGGCAGTGTCTTCTCTGGGTGTGTTGAAGATGTTTAATGCTCGCCGTCTGCAGTCTCTGATGAAGTGACGAGGATAGTGGAGTTTAGAAAATATTTGTTCAATTATAGTGCATTCTTCCTCAAGGAACTCGTTGCTGCAGATTCTGAGTGCACGCAGGAAGAAGCCTATAATTACACCACGTTTGGTTTTGGTGTCGTGGTGAGAGTAGAAGTGGTGTTGGCTTTACGTGTTTCTCTTTCGAAAATCACCTTTTTCAGCAGACTTTTGGACTACCCATGGGTTCGCCACTCAGTGCAGTCCTGGCGAACCTATACATGGAACATCTAGAAGCCGAACGTTTCTCCACCATTATTCCTTCGTCTGTCACCTGGCTCCGTTATGTTGACGACATTCTCCTCATAACTCCTAAACGCTTCAACGTTCAAGCTCTCCAAGACAAGCTCAACCAGGTCGAGCCTTCAATCCAGTTCACACTTGAAGAAGAAGTCGACAACACTCTTCCTTTCCTTGATGTCCTGCTCTGCAAAGCTGACCACGAACTTCGTTTCAAAGTCTATCGAAAACCCACCAACCAAAACGATCTTCTCCACTTCTACTCTCACCACGACACCAAAACCAAACGTGGTGTAATTATAGGCTTCTTCCTGCGTGCACTCAGAATCTGCAGCAACGAGTTCCTTGAGGAAGAATGCACTATAATTGAACAAATATTTTCTAAACTCCACTATCCTCGTCACTTCATCAGAGACTGCAGACGGCGAGCATTAAACATCTTCAACACACCCAGAGAAGACACTGCCGAGAAGAGATACATAGTCCTTCCCACCAACTCCATTGCCAAACATGTTTCCAACATCTTTGCCAAAACATCATTCCAAGTATCTACCTCCACAACCACGACCATCAAGGACATCACCAGTAGTAGGCAGGACAAGCCTCCATCCTCTGCAGGGGTATACATAATCCCTTGTAATGACTGCAACAAGTTATACGTGGGCGAAACATCAAGGGACCTCCAAACACGTGTTTCAGAACACCAATACGCAAGCAGGTCTGACGACACAAGGAATGCCTGCGTACAACACCGTAATTCACACAACCACTTGATAAACTACAGAAACTCAAGACTTATCGCCACAGAAGACAACACTCAATACCGAAGAATCCTGGAATCATCACTCATTTCTATATCCGACAACTTCAACCAGAATAGTGGCTTCTATAACATAGCTGAACCACTTGCCAAGAAACTTCTTCATCGCTATCCCACATAAGAACACTGTAGAAGGTCTGCTCACAACTTATCCAATCTCCTTTCCAAGCTACCCAAGTTTTTAGACTCTATAACCCCACTCGGTACATCATCAGATGCAGCATTCTTCACCTGACCTCAGCTGGACTATAAATACTCGCGTTCCTTCCACCCCAGGTAGTTCTGTTTGTGACTTGAAAAAGCCCACTGTGTGGGCGAAACGTAGTCAATAAAGGATCACATTATACTGCATTTGTGTTTATATTGCCACTGTCCTCCAGTGTTGTTATACTCAATTCTGTTATCCTCTCATCGTAGCTCATACCTCTTCGCTGTGGAACAAGTCTCACTGCATACTTTTGTACTTTCTCCGGTTTATTAACATATTTTTTTCAGGTGTGGGTTCCAAGGTGGTGCTGCATATTCTATGATGGTCCTGATATGCAGAATGTTACTCTTAGATTTGTCAGACAAGCATTTGTTGCAGAGATTATTCGGCTGATGTAAGCCTCTGACGATATACCAGACACTCCTTGAGTGAGGTTTGCAGCCACAAGTCTATACTCTGTCCGGTTTTCTTACTCCTTCCCCAGACTTCATAACCTTGCACTTAACGGGGTTGAACTCAAGCAACCACTTATCTGACCAATCTTGAAGTTTCCCAAAATCCATTTGCAGACTTTTTCTATCCTCATCAGTTTTTATTCTCCTCATTAGTTTTACATCATCAACAAAGCAAGGAGACATCTTATTCAATCCCTGTCTGGTATGTCATTCACATAAACAGAAACAATACTGGTCGTAATATCGATCTTCACTGAACCATACTTATTACTCTTCCCATTTTAATATCTCTTTCCGAACAATCACTCTTTGCATCATTAACCTTAGGTACTACTTGATCCTTGCATTCCACACATCCCTTTCTTGTGTCCCAGATCTGTTACTTTATTATAGCACTCCAACAGGTTGGTATGACATGATTTGTCATATCTGAACCCGTGCTGGTTATTGTTTATGATACCACTTCTCTCCAAGTGCTCTACCACTTTCCTTCTGACTACTCCATTACACTGCATGGTATACATGGTATACATGTCAGTGAAACAGGTCTGTAGTTTAACGATGCCTCTCTGTCTTTCAGATTCCTGGCAGCTTTCTCGTGTTCATTGACATATAGATCTTAGCTAGTGGCTTGGACAGTGCTTCTGCTCCTCGCCAAATCTATGGTGACACCTTGTCGGATCCCACTGTCATTGATGTATCCAGTACCACCAGAAGTTTTCTTACCTCTTCCTCTATTATGTGTATAGTTTACAATACCTGTCGGTGCACACTCTCCCCAAACTTTCTGGTTTTTGCCCATGTTTTCACCGAGACGATATCTAAATCGTTCGATAAACACTTCACAAATTTCCTTGTCACTTTTTACGAGTCTTCCTCCTTTCTTCTTCAGTCGTATTATCTGACCCTTGAGTGTAGTCTCTCTTCTGATGTGGTTGAGAATCAGTTTTCCTTCAGACTTGGCCTTGCTGATGTCATTCTCAAATTGTCACTCATCTTCTCTCCTTATCCTTGCATATTCACTTGTGTGTATGTATATATTTGAAAGTAAAAGGTATACAATATCTACAAACTGGTATACACAAAGTAGTATGATTACTTTAAGATTATTTTTGGAATGAAGACTTCAGCTTTTTCAACTCCATGAACTTGAAAAAACTTGTCTATATGCCAGATCGTCTTCAAGCTTTTACATTATTAATGTCTTTATTCTATACCTCGACAACAACCTAAATTTCAGCACCCATATCCAACACATAACAAAAAAAGTATCCAAAACGGTGGGGATCCTCTCCAAGATACGATACTACGTGCCGCAAACTGCCCTTCTCACACTATACCATTCACTTATATATCCACACCTCACCTATGCAATCTGTGCTTGGGGTTCAACTGCAGCAACACACCTAAAGCCAATAATAACCCAACAAAAAGCCGCAGTAAGAATAATCACTAAATCCTATCCCTGGCAACACACCCCCCCACTCTTCATAGATCTAAACTTACTCTCTGTTCAGAACATCCACATTTACTACTGTGCAATCTATAACTAAAGGACCTTAAATTCCAATATTAACCTTGACCTAAAACGCTTTCTTGATAGTTGTGACAGGATCCACAGGCATAACACCAGACACAAACATCTCTATGACATTCCCCGTGCCCGACTAAACCTTTACAAAAATTCAATGCATGTCAAAGGACCTAAAATCTGGAACACCCTACCTGAGAACTCTAGAACTGCAGACACATTCATCACTTTCAAAACTACAGTTAGAAAACATCTTATCTCCCTCAAACACCCCGACAACTAACTACATGATAACCACCTGGTGGTTCACAAGTACACTCACTCACCCACTGACTATAAACACAGAAATACTAATCTTAATCTTAAAATAATAAATCCTAACTAGTCATAAGTTTGCCTATGATACTCCAATATAGACACTTTGTATTGTGCCAAAACAAAAGCATTCACATTGCTAAACTCACAAATTATAATGTAGTCACTTAGCCTTAATACCATAATCTGTAAGGATTTAATGTTAAGAATTAATCTAAGTCTGCCCGAAATGCCTAGCCATGCTAGGAGTCCTAGTGGCCCCCTCTGTAATTAGTATTTTATAACATGTAAACCACACAATATCCAAATCCTGTAAACCCCACAGTGTAACCCTTATAGAGAATAAACTTGATTTGATTTGATTCTATGTATGTGTTTTTTTTCCTGATATTTCTTCATATACAATTTAATTTGTGTATGAATACATGTCTATTTATTTACTTACAGTCTGTTAGTTCACTATAGTAACGAGGCTTTAATATAGCCTTGTAAACTTGTACATTGTCTCCCTAGTAACAAGAGCAGTTTCTATTAGCGGACGAATGACCGAGCCTCCACCACCACTCATGACGATGAATGACCTCACATGAGTTTAGGACTTCCCATAAATCCATATATGTAATCTCATGGGAAAATCAAAATACAAAACTCCCCAAAACTTTCTACGAATTCAACCGGAAGTAATGAACATGTTTGTTTCTACTTTTCTGCTGGTCAATCATAATATTTATCAACACGTACATATTCCCCAGTTATAATTATAATACGATCAAAGGTATAAATATATCTTGGATCGGGTGTGGGCTGGTCCGGTGAATCATTGACACAGGTGTTTTTTAACAGGTGTGAAGTCTGGTTTGCAGACTACTTCCACTCCTCTCCTCCCTGGTCACAACTTCTGTCAGCATGTGAGTACACTCTTGTCATTATCTCCGATAGTTGTAAACCTTGCCCGTGGGTATACCTGTAGAGGATTTCGGGGATCAACGCCCCTGCGGCCAGGTCTCTGGCCAGGCCTCTTGGTGGATCAGGGCCTGATCAACCAGGTTGTTACTGCTTGCCGCATGCAGACCGACGTATGAACCACAGCCCGGCTGGTCAGGTACTGGCACTCTTCCTGCTGCTATGTTAACGTTTCTATTCACATCGTAATTTCTGCACTGTTACCATTTCTAGCCGTGTTACTGTTACTGTGGATATATATATATATATATATATATATATATATATATATATATATATATATATATATATATATATATATATATATATACAAACACTGATCTCTGGCTGAAGGAGACTCGAACCTACGAACCTTAGGACAAGGTACGCAGTGCTTTACCAATCTACCCACACTGGACAATACCTTGGCGTGTAGCTTGTGCTACACGTTTGATCCAAGGCAGCCAGCTTTCAGGGAGAAGGCTTACAGCTTTTCATCTCATCCCCTGCATGCATCAGCCTTACTAGAGATTTTAACAATGCAAGGAATTCGCGAGAGCAGGCGAAATATACACAAACACTGATCTCTGAAAGCTGGCTGCCTTGGATCAAACGTGTAGCGCAAGCTACACGCCAAGGTATTGTCCAGTGTGGGTAGATTGGTAAAGCACTGCATACCTTGTCCTAAGGTTCGTAGGTTCGAGTCTCCTTCAGCCAGAGATCAGTGTTTGTGTATATTTCCCCTGCTCTCGGTGGGATACGGCCGGTGTGTTGAATGAAAGAAATATATATATATATATATATATATATATATATATATAATATATATATATATATATATATATATATATATATATAAGTAGTACTGAAGGCAGCTCAGCGGTCTCTGCGGCTGTACGGTCTCCTTTCCTGAGCGGACTCCTTCCGCGCCCACCCTCGCGCCCGCCCTCGCGCCCGCCCGCGCCTTCTGCAGCGTCGTCCGGATCGCCCCCGCTCCCCGATTTTTTTCCGATTTTTTTCGATTTTTTTTGAATTTCATTTTCTTGTGCTCTCCATCTCCTCGGATCAAATTTTTTGGATTCCCCCTATGGGGTTTCGAATTTCTTGTGCTCTCCATCTCCTTGGATCAAGTTTTTGGGTTTCCTCCTATGGGTACCCCTCCCACCACACTTCCACCCCAAATATTCCTGCTCCATCTCCTCGGATCAACACCCTCTAAACCATATATTTCTCCTCCACTTCCTTGGATTCCCCCCATGGGATTTCGAATTTCTTATGATCTCCTCGGATCAACACCCTCCCCCACACCACCCCCGTCCCAAAGTTTCTGCTCCAACTCCTTGGATCAAGTTTTTCTCGATATCAATAATACAAAGACTCCATTTCCTCGAATCAAGTTTTTTGGATTCCCCCCTCTGGGGGTAAGCATTCAAATGAACTCCCCCTATGGGGCATGGTACTTTCTCTTACTACAGGTCTAAACAAGTGTGACGTCACCCCACCTGTGTTTACTCGGCGGTCAGTGACGTCACGTGATGACCTCACACACACACACAGGCTGAGTATTTATGAAGGTGTTCTGGGAGTATTCAGTGGTTATTTTGGCTGTGTTCGAATGATGTTTTTGGAGTATTCAAAGGTAATTGATGGTGTTTTTGGTGTTGTTCAAAGTAAAGTGGTGTGTGTGTGTGTTGTGTATGTGTGTGTGTGTGTGTGTGTGTGTGTGTGTGTGTGTGGTGTGTGTGTGTGTGTGTGTGTGTGTGTGTGTGTGTGTGTGTGTGTGTGTGTGTGTGGGTATTAACTTCGTAATATGTAAAATTGTGACTAGAGTGAAAATTGTCTTGTGAGATGTTGGTGGGAGAGTGAGGGTTTCGGGGGGGGGGAAGGGGTAAGAAGGAGTGACCTGAGATGTTATCTGAGATCGGTCAGATAAGACTCGCCAGTCTTTTTCTGATGAAATAGTTAAAACGGGAAAAATATCTAGACTTGAGGAGAGTGAATCTTTTGTAAAGAAATTGTGGATTGTTGTGGGTATTAACGAAAAAAATGTGAAATTATTTGGGTTATCCTGGGTTAAGAGTGAAAATGTTTAATGTTTTCCCTATGTTGTATATGAAATGTGTAATACTGAGATGGTGACGACGAAGAAGATCCAGAATAAAATGCACAGAATTTCTTCAAGAGAAAAACAATTACTCTATGATGATTTTAGTCAATGAATTGCACCTTTTTTTTCAATTAATTTGTATTTTTTTTGTTGTTGTATTACCAGAAATGTATATGAAATGCATTGGTTGTATAATAAATAAATAAATGAAAATATTGTGTATTAGTGTTATCCTGTATTTTAATGTTTGGTCGACAAGATTCAGAGTGTGTGTGGTCATCACGTGACGTCACTGACATACCTGGAGTTTACCTGGAGAGAGTTCCGGGGGTCAACGCCCCCGCGGCCCGGTCTGTGACCAGGCCTCCTGGTGGATCAGAGCCTGATCAACCAGGCTGTTGCTGCTGGCTGCATGCAAACCAACGTACGAGCCACAGCCCGGCTGATCAGGAACTGACTTTAGGTGCTTGTCCAGTGCCAGCTTGAAGACTGCCAGGGGTCTGTTGGTAATCCCCTTAGGGGAAGTCGACAAGATTCAGCCTGTGTGTTGTGAGTCATCACATGAACGTATCACTGACCGCAGAGTAAACACAGTGGGTACGCACACTTGTTTAGACCTGTAAAAGGAGAAATACATGCCCCATAGGGTGAGTTCATTAGAATGCTTACCCCCAGAGGGGGAATTCCAAAAAGCTGATTCGAAAATGGAGTCCTTTGTATTATCGATATCGAGAAAAATTTTGATCCGAGGAGATGGAGTCTTAGTAAGTATTGAATCGAAAAAACTTGATCCAAGGAGTTTGGAGCAAGAATTTTGGGATGGGGGTGGTGTGGGGGGAGGGTGTTGATCCGAGGAGATCATAAGAAATTCGAAACCCCATAGGGGGGAATCCCAAGGAAGTGGAGGAAAATATAGGTTTAGAGGTGTTTGATATGAGAGATGGAGCAGTGAATATTTGGGGTGGAAGTGTGGTGGGAAGGGGTATCCATAGAGGAACCCCAAAAACTTGATCCAAGGAGATGGAGAGCACAAGAAATTCAAAACCCCATAGTAGGAATCCAAAAAGTTTGATCCGAGGAGATGGAGAGCACAAGAAAATGAAATTAAAAAAAAATTCGAAAAAAATCGGAAAAAAAATTCGGGGAGCGGGGGCGATCGGGACAGCTGCAGAAGGCGCTGCAGAAGCTTGGGCGGGCCGCGAGGGCAGGCGCGTGGGCAGGGCGCCGGTCGGGCGGCGCGCGGGCGCGCGGGAAGGAGTCCGCTCAGGAAAAGAAGACCGCTGAGCCGCAGAGACCGCTGAGCTGCCTTAGTACGAGCTTATATATAGATATAATATATATATATATAATATATATATAAATTATAATAAATGATCGTATTAATAAATATAGTCGTGCGAATAGGGCAGAATTTGCGATCTGGCTACATAGCAAACCTCATCTTGCATAAGACAAGTGAAAATTGTGTATGAATAATATTCGCCAAAATCATTCTGGAACCTAACGAAAAAAATATATTTCACTGTTGTTTCTTAGTATTAGAAAATTATTGTTAGAACACATCTATAATGTATTTAGTTGGGTTAGGCTAAAATAAATTATTCTTGTTATAATAAGGTTAGGTAAGTATTCTAAGAATCTTTTGGAGGCAAAATTAAAAAAAATTACATAACATTTAATGAAAAAAATATATCATTAAACTTATAAGAGAAAATTTTAGAAAAGGACTTAATTAAAAATGAGTTCTTCTAATTGACCAGTTTTACATATTTCCCCGGGGCCAAAAAATGGGGAAAACCCCCCCCCTATATATATAAATAATATATATATATTATATATATATATATATATATAAATATATATATATAAATATATATATTTATGAATAATATATATATATATATATATAATATGTATATATATATATGTAATGTATATATCTATATATATATCTATATGTAATATATCTATATGTATGTATTATGCAAAAAATATATATATATATCTACATATATATATATATATACATATATATAATTATTTATATATCTATATATATATATATATTTATATATATAAATATATTATATATACAAATATATATATATAATATAAATAGATATATATATATATATATATATATAACAAACTACATATTATATATATATATATAAATATATATATATAATCTTATATATATATAAGATATATATAATACATATATATATAATATATATATATATAATATATATAATATATATATATATATATATATACCATATATATAGAGGTATTATATATATATATATATACATATCTATATCAAATATATACATATATATATATATATATTATCACATATACAAATATAATAACACATATAGTATATCTATATACAGTATAATACAGAAATAATGGTATACATATACATATATATTTATTCATTATATATATATATATATATATATATATATATACATATATATAAATATATATATATATATAAATATATATAATATAAATATACATTATATATATATATATAATATATATATATATATATATATATATATATATATATATATATATATATATATATATATATATCTTATTGTTATGAGGATAACAAAAAGATTAGTTGATGAAAGAATGGATAAAATTGGAGGGAGAGAGTCTGGAGGAAGGTGAATGTATAGATATTGTGAGTGGACGTGTCAGCGGATAGGGTCTATGCAAGTTTTGGTGAATCAAGAGAATTGATGAGGGAAAAAGGGTGAGCGTGCACTTAGGATCTGTGGAGAGTATAGTTTTTTACCAACGCTCTTATATGGTGTGAAGCAATGGGTGAGACTGTTGAGC